CTCCAAATTTTACAACCAACGACACTTTAGAAAGCACTGCAGCACTCAAGACGCAGGCTTGTGGGTGACAGAAACGAGGAAGGAACAGGCAGCAGAAGCAGATTTAAGATGAAAAATGAATTTAGTGCTGACGTTCGGGGAGCTGCATTTGCCATCATCAGTTAATATTACATATTTAAATAAATTATATATAAACTATAGCAGTAATAACAGTTTGGAATTCTTCAGCCAGGGACGAGTGCAGAAAGGTGAAAGTCCAGAATGCACCAAGATGAAAGAAGCTGCCAGCATGCCCAAAATAACAAAGCACAAAGTGTTGCTCTGTGTTTTCTGTTTTGTTTTATGTTGTAACCTGTTGTGGAGGTATTTTAAATGAAAAAACTGCAAATAGTGATGTGCGTCATTGGATCCTCCAAGGAAATCCTGAATGCAAGATTGCAAGCAGGTTAATATTTTTCACCCTGTCACAGTCCAGGTCAGCTGCTGGAAAGTTCCACTAGAAAAGTTCTCCTCTGCCTGTCCCAGGGAGGAGCTGTCTTCACCTTATCTGGAGCTAATCTGGAACAATCTGCTACAGATATTTAAGACCAGTGTTGCTGTCTCGTCACTGCCAGTTCATCAACTAACCCATGTTGGTAACAGGCACTCGTGCCTCAGTCTCAAGTCTATGTATTTACCTTGTTCTCTTGTGCTTCAATTCTCTCGTCACAGCTCCACTCTTTGGCTCTGCTTGCTACTCCGACACCTTCTCTCCTCAAATCACCACTGACTCCACCTGGAACGTCTTACCCCTCAGTTAAATGTACACCTGTAGGAGTTCTATAATACACAAACTCCCTTTGTTCTTTCTCCTCAGTGCCACCACACTTGTTACCAAACATGCCCTGTCCCTGCCTTAGAGCTCCACACTAGTTTTCCTAGACACAAACCTCGTGCCAAGCATGATTTTATTCTGTGTTCACACTAAACTTTTTGCCACATTCCCATTCCATGTTGTTGCAAAAATAAAAGCATTGTGTAAAACTAACTCAACCATCTCTTCACTTGGTCCAGCACTTGAGCCCAGTGTTAGTATAGGCCTCTGGTCCTTTGTGACACTCACAGGGTAAGGACTAGGAAGCACTGACTGAAAGGATAAAACAATCTGGCAAAGACTGGCCTTTTCTTTATGAAGTGGTCCCATCAAACAAGAAAAACCCAACAATCATATGAGCCCCTATGAGCAGCACTTTGGCCACAGTGGGAAGGAAAAACTCCCTTTTAACAGGAAGAAACCTCCAGCAGAACCAGGCTCAGGGAGGGGCGGGGCCATCTGCTGCGACCGGTTGGGGTGAGAGAAGGAAAACAGGATAAAGACATGCTGTGGAAGAGAGACAGAGGTTATTATGCACCCATGCATGTGTACACACACCCTCACACACACACACACACACACACACCTTGGGTTCCGTGGCAACTGTTACGGGAACTTAAGAACTTAACCCCACCTGAGAATTAAGTTAGGCTTTCAGCTGAAAATATCATCCTGGGTGACCACGGGATCTTCAAACGGTGCTGTATCCTGGATTGATGACATCAAATCCTACTTTCAAAAGTTCTTGAGTCCATCAAAACCATAGTGTTAAACTTGACCAATTTCGAGGGGACACAGACTTCCAAAGACGATTGGAAAGAGGTAACCCAGAAAAGACACCAAAGCATACATGAGTCTTTGGATGCTGAGTGCTGAGTACACATCCAGAAATGAATTTAAGAGCAGTTTATGGGATGCAGATTTTAGTCAGACAATTTTTCAATGCAGAATGTCACTCGAGAGATTTTGCCTCCCATTTTTGAACCATGATACAAGACCAGTCTGCCCTCAACAAGACAAGTGTGTGGGGTGACAGCAACTCATCTACATCCTCCAAACGTCACTGTAGATGAGCATCTGGTGGCTTTTAGAGGAAACTCTAAAATCCAGGAGAGATCCTCGGTGATGTTGGCTGCAAGGAATTTGAAGTTGCTGACCCTTTCGACCTTGACACCATTAATGTGGATGGGCTGGTGTTCCCCGACTGGTCACTTATGGTAGTCCACTATCATTTTCCTTGTTCTGCTGACATTAAGAGACAGGTTATTATCCAGACACCAATTCTACAGCACCATCACCTCCTCTCTATAGGTCGTTTCATCGTTGTCTGTGATAAGGCCTATGATAAAAAACTTGATAATGTGTTGGCCCTATGTTTAGCGACACAGTCATGTGTGAACAGGGAATATAGGAGGGGGCTACGCACACATCTCACATCTTCGTTTTTGAGTATTAAAGTTATCGCGTGACTGTCTTCCTGAGAATAGAGGAGAGGATCAGCTCCTCCCACTGAATACACTGTAGATCTGTGAGCACTAAGCAGATACTTCAAGAAGATCGCACACACACAGACACCCTGTAAAAACTGCTATTTGGTTCAAATATGCACAAACTCAGCTGAATGTGTTTGTGTTCTGTGGTTCTGACATTAATTTGTTGCTTGTTTTAGCTCATTTTATTTAAATTTGTTACTTGAACACTGACAGTATGTAACTGATCTAAAAGTAGTGACTTCTTCTAGTTTGAATTCTGGTCTGAAGTCTGTCGATATTTCATGTACAGCGGCTTCAGAAATCCCTGTAACTTTTTTTTTCAGTGTATTTGTGTTACAGCCTGATGCTAAAATCATTGAAAAATCTTTTTTATCTAATTTAATCTAATTAATCTGCACTCAGTACCTTGTGACAATTTGTTGATATGTTTCTACGCCTTTCTGGACTCCATGTGTGGTAACTGACGGATTTGATTTGTGTCTTTTAGCTTTAGCTTCCTGCTTTGGCTTTACATTTCGTTTTTGGTTTTGTATTATTGACACATTGCGGTTAATGCTAACTTACACTTAGTGACTTAACGTTACATTTAAAAACTAAACAGGTGAAGATGATGTAAATCATTAAAAATACCAACCATGTGATCTATTTTTCTACATCACATGATTAACAAAAGAAAAACACCTTAAGTCATGACTCTAGCTTCCTTAAATGTGCACGTTTACTTGCTTCTTTCTGGTTGATGTCACCAGGTTTTATCTTTTCTTCCTCTCTGCTTCAGTTTCTGTCTCTCCTCTCTTCTATCTGTGATCACTTGCTGTTGTTTGTTCTCTTGGATTCCCGCCCATGGCTTTATGCACCTGAGGAAATCCCTGACCGGTCATTGATGATCTCATCAGGATTGAAGAAATTCACCTCGTGTTTCCCTGTGTACAGATGTTCACTGAGTCACCTCCCTGGAGTGTGGTGAGCCTGCCTGAGCTGAATAGAGTTGGATGTTTGGATGCCTGTTCCCTTTCCTCTTCCACTTTGTACATAGCAGGTTTTTGGTGACCACTATAAATCAACACACTGAACTTTGATTCCTCTGAGTCCTGCTCTCGAATCAACTGC